GCAGCCATCTTAGGGGCAGGCTTAGTCATCCCACTAGAGAGATCGCACTGTGGGGCCAGAATGCCAAGCTGTCTGTGAGCACTGGGGAATTGTTCTGGGGCCGCACGACCCCACACACCCTTCCCTAGGATCTAACGACTGATGGATTTGCAGGAGTACCCGTGGGCCTGATTCTGGCTCCTGCCACACCTTCCACTCCCAGCCTGGAGGCTTCCAGCTCTCCAAGGGCTTCTTCTTGGATCTGGGCAGGTGGAGAGTCGCCCCTGCTCTAGTTCTAAGCACGGCAGTGAGCTCAGTCGCACAGTGGCACTTGGAGAGCTGTGAGCTCACACGCACGCACGCAGGCCCTCCAGGCTCCCCTGTCTGCACAGAAGCTGTGCTGGCACCTTGCAGGCTTGGTGGGCAATAGTGAGGAGCCTCGGGTCTACGACCCAAGGAAAAGCCCTGAGGCGAGAATTTGGGGGAGCCCAGGGGTGGACCAGTAGGGGAGTAGGAGTGTGAGACACAAGGGGAAGCCATGGAAAAGGGGCATCGTCCAACAGTTTGGTCTCTGGGGAGCCAGGCCAGTCAGTATGTGTGGAACACGGGCCCCAGAGCCACCCTGCCCCAGGACAAATGTGCCAAACATCCATCGCTCGCATTGGCCAAGGCTGCACCAAGCACCTGACGGCTCTACCTGGCCTGTGTGTGGGTTTCTGGGTTGGTAAGCATGGGGATGTGGGTGAGGTGTGGGTCCCTGGAGTGATGGGTCCCAGAGTGTGAATGGGTTGAGGGGCGCTGGGATGGTGGGCACGGGGGTGTGGGGTGCGCCGTGGGTCCCTGGGGTGGTGGGTCCCAGGGCATGGGTGGGGCGTTGGTCCCTGGAGTGGTGGGTCCCAGAGTAATGGTAGGACGTGGGTCTCTGGGGTGGTGGGTGGCAGGGTGTGGGTAGGGCGTGACTCCCTGGGATAGTGGCCATAGGGGTGTGGGGTAAGGTGTGTGTACCTGGGATGGTGGGTCCCAGGGTGATGTGGGACCTGGCTCCCTGGGGTGGTGGTCATGGGCTGGGGTGTGGCTCCCTGGGATGGTGAGCCCTGGGGCATGGGTGGGGTGTGGGTCCCTGGGGTTAGGGGTCCCAGGGTGATGGTGGGATATGGGTCTCTGGGGTGGTGGGTGCCAGGTCATGGGTGGAACGTGGGTCTCTGGGGTGGAAGGTTCCAGGGTGATGGTGGGGCGTGGGTCCCTGGGATGATGGGTGGCAGAGTGTGGGTAGGGCATGGCTCCCTGGGGTGTTGGGCACAGGAGTGTGGGGTAGAGTGTGGGTCCTTGGGGTGGTGGGTCCCAGGGCATGGGTGGGGCATGGGTCCTGGGGCATGGATGGGGCATGGGTCCCTGGGGTGGTGAGTCTTGGCCCCAAGGCATGGGTGGGGCATGAGAACTCACTCTCCCCACCCAGGGAGGGCACTAATCTGTTCATGAGGGATCCGCCCATGACCTGGTACCTCCCACAAGGCCCCACTCCAACATCAGGATCAGACATTGCCTTCTTGATCCTGGAGAGAAAGCTTCAACCTTTACTCCTGAGGGTGAGGTTAACTGTGTTTTTTCAAATGTGGCTTTTATTATACTGAAGTAGGTTCCTTCTGTTCCTGGGGCATTTCTTGTTGAGATGACCGTGGTTTTGTCCTTCACGCTGTTAGTGTGATGTGTTAAAATGATTGGTTTTCATAATTTGCACCCTCCCTGCACTCCAGAAATGAATCCCACTTGGTCGTGGTGGAAAACATTCTGATGTGTGGCTGGACTCAGTGTGCCAGCCACTGTTGAGGACTTCGCATCAGTGCTCAGAGTGACACTGGTCTGCAGTTTGCTTTTCCTGTAGGGTCCTCGTCAGGTTTGGTATCCAGGTAACACAGGCCTCCTGGAAAGAGTTAGGAAGTGTCCCCACCACTCAAATTTTTGAAAAACTTGGAGAAGGGTTGGCAGTAATTCTCCTTTGGCTGTTTGTTAGAGTTCACTCATCCAGCCATTTTATGGAAAAGTTCTAACACCATGGAACCCCAAGATTCTTGGGCCACGAGGACGAATCACAGAGCTGAAAGGAACCTTAAAGCTTTTCTCACTCAACCACCCTATAATAATTTCACTTTTGCAAGCAGCTTGCCCACAATCATAGATGTGGTAGCAAAATGAGGGATCCCTCCCTTGTCTTCTAACACCGAGAACAGTGCTCTTTGTACCGTGCCAGGCTCCAAGTAAAAAAGATATGTGTATACACAACATTCTTTTTTTCTTTTATTTTTTATTTTAAAGATGTGGACCCAATTCAGGGTTAGATGCATACGTGGTCATCGTACAGGTAAAGTGTGGGTGCCCTTATTGATGTTATGTGCCCCTCCCCACCCCCTGGCAGTGTCCCACTACAGCCAATCCCTTTCTTTAAAAATTTTTTTTTTATTCTTTTAAAGATGTGAAGTACAATTCAGGGTTAGATATACAAGCATTGATTATGCAGGTACCCTTGTTGATGAGGTGTGTCCCCCCTCCCCTGGCAGTTTCCCACTATTGCCAATCCCTTTCTTATAGGATTATGATAATTGTTCAAAGTCCACTGATGAGTGAGAACATGCAGTATTCAGTTCTTTGTTTCTGTGATAGATCACTCCATATTAATAGTATTATAATAATGTTCAGGGTCCACTTATGCGTGAGTACAAGTGATATTCTGATGTTTGTTTCTGTGATAAGTCACTGAGTATTGTAGTCTCTAAATCCATCCAAGTTGCTGGAAAGTCCATAATTTTGTTTTTCTTTATGGCTGCATAATATTCCATCATGTAAATGTACCACACAACATACAATTTTTACAGAAGATGTAACACACCTACATTCTGTCTGTGTTTTCCATCACAGTCCCTCAGTTTTCTCCCCCACCTGACCTCCCTCCACACTCAGGGCAGGTGTGTGTGTGTGTTGCTAACTCAGCAGGAGGGCTCTTAGGGCAATGATGCAAAAGGAGAGGTCAGAGGACTCACTCTCACTTCACGGCTGAGGGCCCCCCTCTGGTCACTTCCCACCTGCCCTGTCAGCAAAGAAGCAGTGTAACCTGACTGGCCAGTGATGCATTTCAATCAACTTCACCCACTTGTCTCAGAAAGGGACTCCATGTCCTCACCAGAGGAGGACGTGGGGAGTCAGCGGATGATGCAGCCAGGAAAGCGAACTGTCAGAGAAGACAGCGTCTCAGGCCCAGCAGGGACTGAGTGGCAGAAATAAAGGGCCACACTAGTTTTCTTCTTTGTAGCTTCTGGTTGTGAACATCATGAATTGAAGAAAAAGTAAAAATAAAAACTTCACAAAAGTAACTGTATAAAGGATATTGGAGGAGGTTCCCGAATGCCTCCTGCTAAGCCAGGTACAGCCCCTAGAGGGTCGCGTTGTCAGGTACTGTCCTGGGAAAAGTTCCAGTTCTGTCCTCCAAAGCCAGGTACAGCCCCTAGACTGCCGCATGGCCAGATACCATCCTGGTGGAGGTTCTAGAACGTGTCCTGCAGAGTCAGGTACAGCCCCTAGGTGACCAAGTGGTCAGGTACTACACTGGGGAGAGGTTCTAGAATGCATCCTGCAAAGCCTGGTGCAGTTCTCTAGACAGCTGTGTGGTCAGGTATTGTCCTGGGGGAGATTCTAAAATGCATTCTGCAGATCCAGGTGCAACTCCTAGTTAGCCGCATGGTCGGGTACTGTCCTTGGGGAGGTTCTAGAACATGTCTTGCAGAGCCAGGTGCAGCCCCCTGGACAGCCGTGTGGTCAGGGCAGCTTTATCCCTGCGATAAACCCAGGCTTGGTTAAGGCTGTCTGCAAGGGGGAGTGGGCACCCCGACATGGAAGCGAGCACACTGTGGGAGTTCTGAAGCTAACGGCCACCTGTATGACAAGCCAGTCCGTGGTGAAAGAGCCATTGATGGGGCTGCAATGACCAAAGCCACTAGGTTCAACCTGTTTCATTCATTCTTTTTTTGTTTGTTTTTTAATCAATATTTTTTATTATGATGTTGTGGGGTACAGTTAAGGGTTAGGTATACAATTACGTTTCATTCAGGCACCCTGTTGATAAGAGGTGTTTCCCCGTCCCCAGACAGATATTTGCTACTGTTAATCCCATCTCCCTGCCCCCCCATAGTTTCCCGGTACTGTCAGTCATTTTCTTATAGTACTAAATTGGATGTTCAAGGTCCATTATATGAGTGAGAACATGTGATACTCGGATCTTTGTTTCTGTGAGAGGTCACTCAGTTTCATTCATTCTTAATCATAACTCATGATACTCGAAGTTAGAAACATTCACTCAGCAAGAGAAAATTGTTCCTTAAGAATATAAATTGCTTGGTGTGTCTACTTGAATACTTTTTTTAAGGTAGTACGTGAGCAGGTGTAAAATCCAGTGGCTCAGCAGGCTGCCTGTGCTGCCCACGGGAGCCCAGGGCTGAAGCAAATCAGCTAGCCTCCCGTAAAGTGCAGCATTTGATCCTGTGGGTACAGGCAGTAACAAGGCTCTGCATTCTTAGCAAGTCCCCAGGTGCTGGTGCCTGTCCTCAGCAGCCATTGAAGGTCACTCGGCAGAAAGCACCTTGGAGACCCCGGCGGGGCTTGTCTCAAGATCCCTGAATCCCAGATTCATGCTTGGAACCTGACAGCAATAGGAGATCCCCACTAAGCTGGGACAGTTCTCCTCACATTGCCTCCCATGTGAATACATTGCCAGGTGCAGAGATGAGTCCATCCCGATGGCAGTTTGCTGGCTCATTTCTCAGGGACTCTGTCCAAGGTGCAGAGCTGGGCAGTGCTGTGTTTTCTCCACCGATGGGCGTCTCAGCTGGCTAGTACAGTCTGGCACAGCACAGGTCGGGGTGGTTCACTTTTCTCCAGGGGCCACTCTTGTCTTATCTCTGCTTCCTCCTCCTCCAGGAGACATGGGTCCCCTGAGGCCGGTGTGACACCCCTGCAGCCCACCAGCCTGACGCTCGGCGGGAGGGAGGGCCATGGATGGCATCGTGGAGCACCAGAGCGTGCTGGTGCACAGTAAGATCGGCGACGCCAGCAAGAGGAATGGCCTGATCAACACACGGAACTTCATGGCCGAGGGCAGGGACGGCCTGGTGTCCATCTACCCGGCGCCCCAGTATCAGAGCCACCGCGTAGTGGCTGGCGGCCGGGGGGAGCCGGCACAGCAGCTGCTGGACCCCAACACCCTGCAGCGCTCAGTGGAGTCCCACTACCGGCCCAACCTCATCCTCTACTCAGAGGGCGTGCTGCGCCCCTGGGGGGACAGCGTGGCTGCTGACTGCTGCGAGACCACCTTCATCGAGGACCGCTCCCCCACCAAGGACAGCCTAGAGTTCCCTGACGACATCAAGATCCACACCCTGTCCTACGATGTGGAGGAGGAAGAGGAGTTCCAGGAACTGGAGGTCAGAGGATGCGGTGGGCAGAGTCCCCTGGGGGTGGGCAGCCGGGATTCCGGGGTGTGGGGCCAGGAACACCTGGCAAAATGTGGGTGTGAAGTTGGCGTGGGAAATGCAGAGACTGGGCCAAGTGCAGTGGCTCATACCTGTCACCCTAGCACTTTGGGAGACCGAGACAGGAGATTGCTTGAGTCCCAGGTTTGAGACCTACCTGGGCAACAGGGCAAGACCTCAACTCTACAAAAAAATAAAAAAATTAGCCAGGTGTGGTGGCACATGCCTGTAGTTGCAGCACTTTGGGAGGCAGAGGCAAGAGGATTGCCTAAGCTCAGGGGTTCAAGACCAACCTAGACAACATGGCAAGACCTCGACTTTACAAAAATTCCAAAAATTAGCCAGGCATGGTGGTGTGCATCTGTGGTCCCAGCTACTTGGGAGGCTAGGGTGGGAGGATTACCTAAGCCTAGGAGGTCAACGCAGCAGTGAGCCACGAGTGTGCCACTGCCCTCCAGCCTGGGTTACAGAGTGAGACCCTGACTCAATTTCTTTTTAAAAAAATGCACAGACTGAAGGCATTCTCTGTACCCTCCACTCCTGTGTGCTGTGCAACATGGAAGGAGGAGACAGACAGGATGGACAAAACCCAGGCAGGGATGCCAGTCAGTCAGGACCCGGGGTCATGGCCATGGAATGTGGCTGCACACAACAGTGCCAGCAGGCTTGTTGGCATCCCTGCTGTCCAGCACCCCATGAGAGAGGCCTTGGCAAGAGCCAGCAAGATGAGAGAGGGACACCTGCTCTAAACTGTGTGGCACAGACAGCCTGGGGTGTTCCTGCCATCGCACCAACCTCCTGAGATTGGCCTCTAGAGTTTCTACTGAGAGTGTATCGGTAAAGCTAAGCCCTGCTGGCAGGAATAGTAGGCATCAGTAGCCTAGCGGGAAGGCGTTTCTTTAGTGCACTGGGGTGGAGAGGAAAGGGAGGGCATGTGGATTACGTACACAGGTGTGGACATGGGCACAGTGTGGCAGAGCACAGCAGACATGGGATGGAGACATAGCATGGCAGGTCACAGTGGTCATGGGGTGGGTGTGGTGTGGCAGGGCACAGCAGACACAGGATCTCACCAAGTGCCCAATTTCACTTTTCTGAAAATAAAAATGAGTGACTGACCATCCGTGTCGTCGCCCACACAGTACCTGTTGTGTGGTCTACTCTTTCTCCCATCTCACTAAAGCATGTATTAGTCAGCACTTGCTATATAACAAATCAACCCAAAGCTTAGTGGCTTTGTACAACAGCTTTACATTTAGCTGTGATTCTGGGGCAAGCAGTCTGAGTGGGCTCAGCCAGGTGACAGTCCTGCTGGCCTCGTCTGGGGTCACTCACTTGTCTGTGGTCAGCAGCCAGCAGCGGGCCAGCTGTTGGCTACAGCAATGTGGAGACTGAACCACCTGCAGGCTATCCTGGTACCATGGCACAGCAGTGTGTCAGGGGCCCCAAGGGTGCAGAGAGGGAGGCCCCCACTGTACGAGGCTGTGCATGACTGTCTGTGCCCATGTGGGGTCTCACTGGCCAAAGCAGGTCACACGACCAAGCCCAGAGTTAGCATGGAGGGCCCACTTGGGGTCACAGTCTAGGAAGTGACAGCGAATGGGTGCCAGTACTGCAGCCGTATAGCAGAAAGTACCGACTATTTGGCACATTTTTCAGATCATCTCACTGTAAATATTGATCGCGCTCTTTCCAAAGGGCAACTCTACTTCCCAAAACATAAAAGACAAAATAATGTGAGTTTAGATTCACTGGGAATCCTATGGCTCCCTTGGCTCTCATCCAGGCAACACTGTTTCCTGAAAGGCACAGCTTTCAGAAGCCATTGCAGGTCCTCCTGTGGGAGCCCTGTACCCTGGATGGCTGCTGTCTCAGGGATTCCTGGCGTCCAGGGCTGCTCACTGACTCACATCTCGGCAGGAGCGCATAGAGGCTTCCACGTGCCTTGGTGGTGGTAGCTATAGCAGGCACAGGTCCTGTGACTGATTTTGAGGGCGCCTGGGGAAGGGTCTCACTGGTCAGTAGGTGTCACACGATGTGTCCTGCTCATGTTCAGTCACTAAGTACAGCAGCTCGCAGCTTGGTCAGACGGGGCAACTTCACGGGACCTCTGGGGCTTGAAGACACCGAGTTGCTGCTGTTCCCTATGTCACTGCACTCAGTGTGACCTGAAAACCCTCCCACCAGTGCCCTCAGGATGCTTAGGAGGGGATCATTGGGCCCACTGTCCCACAGTCCAAGGCCTCCTCCCGGGTGTGTGGCCACAGCGTCATCCAACTCCTGCCAGGAACTGAACCTGCCGCCCCCAGGAGCTCCACAGCAGAAACCCACTTCTCACACGAAATAAGCTCAAGTGGCAAGTCATCAGGGATGTGTGATGACAGACAGTTGGAACTTGAGGCCATGAGGTGAAGGGGCTGGCATCCATGGTTGAGGGGCCGATGGTCCTCTTACTGCCAGAAATGAGGTCCAGGTGCGGAGAGGCAGCTGATGCCACTTACTACCACATGTTGACCCTCTTGGACCCAGGAGACGTGGATGCCGGCCCTCAGAGCCTTTTTCCACTAGAAAATGAAAGGGAATGACACGTGCCTCTCAAAGGGACACCTGTCCACTGGGCATCCTGAGGCTTTCTGCTGTTGGGTCCTCATGGCACTGGGGCAGGGGACCGTCCTCCACCACACCAGGGGAGGCTGGAGCTGGAGAGTTTCCAGGACCATGCAGCTGACTGTGCTGGGCCCCTAGGTCTGAGACAGACCCGCTGACCCCAACTGGCCTCCTGGAGGTGAGGCTCCTCTTGCTGTCTTGGGGGTGACCAGTGCATTCCGGTGACTTCCACATCAGCATCACACCAGAGTTCACATTCGGAATACCAAGAACCAGCCAGGGTAGTCCCAGTCACTCCTCTCCCGTGAACCCTCAGCTGGGCTCTCTGAGACCACCGAGTCTGTCTTCCCACGTAAAGCTTGAAACCTGCTTGAGGACACAGAGTCTTACAGCTGCAATATTGCCCTCACAGACACCTCATTCATAAGTGTTGGGGTAGACACAGCACACATGAGACGAGGACACCGAAACACGACTGAGACACATCCACAGTGGAGAGGACAGTCACCTAGAAAAGACCAGAAAGAATCCAGGAAACAACAGCAGTTTGGAAGTGACTGCTGGAGTCTCCAGAGACGTGAGGGGAGGGACGTGCGGGTTTGGTTTTGCTCGTCTGGTTAACTGCCTTGTCCTTTCTAGACCCTTAGATGCAATGTGGAAGTGAGAGAGGCAGGGAACATCTGGTCAGGCTCCTGGTCCTAGGGAGCCCCTGGGCTTTGGGGATGGCAGTGATGCCAGCTGTGGTCACCCCGCATGCATGCAGCTTCTAGCCCTTCTCTCCCTGTAGCTCCAGCTCCCACCTGAGGGCATCCACTCTGAGTCCGACGACTTCTCTCACTGTTCCTTGTGTGACAGGTCTGCCGGGAGCCAACTCTCTCCTTTTTTATTTGCCCTCGCTCTGGGGGATGGTTTTGTGGGGCAGAGAGTTGCCATGTGATGGCTGTGTCCTTAGCTTGAACGCGGCCTCTGGCTGTCTAGCCTCCAGGCCTCCAGTGAAAAGTAGGCCCCGATGGCATCAATGGCATCCTCACCTGGATGAGTCTTGGATTTTCTGTGTCTGCCAGCAGTGTGACCAGCATGTCGTGGCATGGGCCTGGTTGTGTTTCCTGTCTGGGGTTCGTGGAGCTCCTTGAATCTGTAGGTCAGTTTTTTTCTTCGTGTAAGGGAAGCTTGGGTCATTCTTTCTTCAACTCGTTGCGCTTTCCTCACCACCTCAATGTCCCATTCAGGCATGTGGGGTGCTTGACACAGCCCCGCAGACGTCCAGGGCTCTGCCCATCCTCCCCAGCTCTCCTCTGTTTTCTGGCTGGGACTATCGACCTTTCTCACGTGCAATCCTCTGTTATGACGGATCTGCTGCTAGCCCCTGTGAATTCCCACTCCAATGGCACTTTCGCTTTCACAGTCTCCATCCATTACTTGGAATGGCGTCTGTGCCTTTAGTGACGCTCGTCAAATCGCTGTCATCATGCTCCCCTTCAGCTGTGGACACACGTACAGTCACTGCACTGACGTCTTTTCTGCTAAATTTGACATCCGCACTAGTTCTGTTTCAACTGGCCGCTGTGCTCTTCCAATGTGGGTCACACTTTCTTGGTTTATTTTTTTTTAACTTATATTTTTTGTTGTGGTTGAAAACTAGTCTAGACATTTGGAATAATATACTATACCAACTTAGGATTCTGATTTTCCCCCCAAGTTTGTGATGGTTACTTGCCATTTTTAAAAACTGTGTTTGTCCTGACTTTGTTGTTTTCAGGACTTAAACACGCAGTCTTTCTCCTTGTTAGTGTTTGGCCACTGACATCACACCTCAGTACGTCTTGGGTTTTCTTGTCTGTTTTCACTTCTTATTTCAATAGCTTTAGGGGTTACACATGGCTTTTGGTCTGGGCTTTAAGTATCTACCATCTTCCTATCCCCCATGCACATCATGTGCAACGGATGACATTTTTGTTTCTCCCCCTTCCCCCCGCTGGTTTTACTCTTTAACTCTGACTTGTTGTTCAGCCTGACTTCCTGGAATTCTCCCCTGGGCAGCCTAGCTTAGAGGTGAGCCAGCTGACTGTTGGTTGAGGCTGAGCTCAGATACCTAAGCAGGTGAGCTCTCCACTCTCTGCCAGTAGGCCTCATATGACTTCGGGATGCATTCAAGGCCCTGGCAGTTATAAGGTCACCTCAGCTTCTGCTGTTCATCTGGCCCTCTCCTGCTCCCTGTGCACCCACATGGCACTGGCAATGACCTGAGGGGAGCTCACCATCACCCACCTCCACCAATGCTGTCATTCCCAGGAGCTCCCTAGTGAACTCCTGGGTCACTGTCTGTTTGCCATCTGCCCTGACCA